CAAAAAAACAGCTTTCCACCATAAAAGCCAAACATCTCAATAATAACCCTGCTCTTCCAGCTCCAAAATTAGGATCATATTTCTCAAAATTACATGGCGTGTCCTCTAGGAAATCGAATTTTGTAAATTTGGAAATGATGGGATACATTTGTTATTCTGAAAGGTACTCTGACTGCTTTCCTGCAGTCTTTCAAATAAAAGTTATGCACAAGAAAATCTGTTACAAAAAAGGAGTTTACCCTGTAGATGCTTGGAGTGTTTCACTCATTTTTTGGCTTTCTCCTTAATGTGACAGCACGTTTTCAACTTCTGCTTTCTGTACATCAGAAGTCCTATTTATTCCTTAAAGTTTTTTTTTTTTTTTTTTAAAAAAGCAGTTATTGATGAACCCTAATGTATATAATATCAAATAAAACTCAGATGAATGGCCTCAAGGTTCACAGCAATTACTTAGCTTGCCAAGATGAGCTTCGTAGTAGAAATCTGAATGYGACTGTCGAATTGCCACACACCAAGTGTTGACTGAAAGTCATTATTTCAGCACCTTATGCTGGTGACTTGCTATTAACCCACTGCTGTRGATACTAAGTTTGATTTAATTCTCACCAGTACAGAAAATGCTTCTGCTTCTCCCAAGCACAGGGATTGCTGTCATTTTGACTGACGTAAGCCACCRTAAGTGATTTCTCAAACAGACAAATTTATCCCTGGAGACAGCGAGATTCCAGCTAGAGCACATTTGTCTTCCTCTGCAGCAAATCCTTAAGCGGGTGCTTAAAGCAAGAGCCCACCAGAAAGGAGCTTTAGCAGGTTTCGGGAAGCGCCACAYCAAAAAAAGCATTTCCAGACCCAGAGGGAAGAAGTCCTGAACACGCGGGGTACCCATCTATGAAGTTAAAATTCAGGGGRACATGAAGCTAAAAATGGAGACATGTGGAGAGAGTTTCAACAACCTCAGAGAACCTCCAACCCATTAGAGAAGATTGCAGCATCCTTCTGAATGAGCAGAGGGTGACACGGGCTGGCTGCACCCCCTCCGACATCAATATCCATTTCCTGCATTGATGGGAGACGGAGTAGCAGCTTCCTCTACAGGATAGAGCCCTTAATTGTCCCAGACCATATTCTGGCTCCCAGAGGCTATTTGTTCTGCTCTGTAGGTAACCACATCCCAGACGAGGCACAACAACCTATAACAGTAAGTGTTAYATGCTGCAGGAAGTCCAGGAGGCACTTTATCACATTAATATACCACATGACTGCATTGGCCATAAGCGAGCACACAAACCACTGCCAAGCACGATGGGGGCACTCCAGGGACCACGAAACACTCGTTACGTCTTGTGCATCTAAGCAGCAGCAAATCCAAGTTACCGCTGTCACAGTCGGACTTTTTCCCTGCCTTGGATGAGCTCTGTGTGCCTCTGATCCCCAGCAAAACTCATGAGAAAGTGAATTAAGGGAAAGGAAAACGTCAAGCGGGTCATTAGCAGGTAGAGAGAGAGATTGCGTAGTAAGTAGCCCCCAATGTGTTTTTCCTCCTCTAAACGATGCCATGAATAGAGGGAATCCTTTGACATTAYTGCAATGCTCAGAACGACAAACACAGGTAAAAATAAAAATAATAAAAAAAGCCTTGCTTGTTCTGAAGCCTTTTAATAGGAATTCAGCTCTTTGATCCAAACCGAGACAAGCAAGCAAGCAATCAAATAGACCAGCACACCAAAGAGGAAGATCTTCCCAGGTCCGACACGGCCACACTTTTTCTGCCTTTGGCTGCTGTTGCCAACATTGTGACCTTTGTGTTGAGCAGCCTCTTTGGTGCCCATGGGGAACATTTCCCATCATTAGTGAGGGCAGACACAGCCCCACAAGCTCTCCAACCCTGTTATCGCCCAAACATGTTCTCTTTTGAACATCCTTTGGTGGATGCATCTTTTTTTTTTTTATTATTATTATTATTATTATTATTGGATTTGCCCTCAGTTACCACAACACAGCCCTTTTCCTAGGGCTGGTTACTACAGCAACTGAATCTGTATGCGTTTGGTAGCAACATCTCGCAGGCATTAAAGAAATAATCTAATGCATCTGCCATTAGCTCAAGAAACATGAAACCACRTGTTGGCAGCCCATGCCACAGAGATATCTCTTTATAATATTTCTCACTGTCTCTCTAACTATATAAKCCTGTGAATTCCCACCTTCTTGGCACAGCACAAACCTGAACAGCCTCTGACTTCAAAGGATGCATGGACGAAGCCAACTGCCCTTCATCTCCCCTGTGTCTGTCATTGCAAAGAAGCCACAACACACAGGATTTGACTGACTCCACTGCCAGGAACGTACTATAGTCCACAGATGCTATCTGCTTCCACTGCACTGCCACTCACTACTGATTTTTAATTTATATACTATGCATATCTGCATTCTTTCGCATATATACATTTACACTTACTCAACTGGTCCATCTTATCATCGCTCAGCAGCAGCTAGACAGGATGCAAAGCCTGGCCAACCACCACTGTTAACAACAAGTCTATATCCCAAGGGAGCAAACTATGCCCAGTTCTCCCATAATTTAAAATGAAGGGATTTACCCCTAAATGTTTTATTTAGTTGCCTTAGGAGCAGACGCTGCTGAGTGAATGCGCTACTAGGAGAAAGCCAGTAGATAGGAAGGTAGCAGTGGCAAAATACTCTCCATTTATTTTCTCTGTGAAAGGGAGGAGAATGAGYTGGGTGAGCTGCTCTGCCAGCTTTCTGCTGAAAATGGCATCGACAACATCAACAAAAACAAGCAGTTCAATACAAGCCCGAGAAAATAATTTTCAGCCACATTTTAAACTGAGGAATTTGACCTCTCGAATCTCTTCTCAGGTTTGTGAAGAAATTCCCACCAGCTTCTTCACCATTTATATTCATTCACAAAATAGATTTTTTCCTGTTCCTTTTTTTCATGTTAGCTTTTATTTTTACTAACCAAATCGATGGCAGTTTGATGTAAGGATTAATTTTTCAGCGTCTCAAAAGCTACTTGTGATAGATGGGCTGGGACAGGACAGATATTAAGCTTCATTATTGCCATGGCTGACTGCACGAACACTCGCACACAGGCTTTCCCAACCTATGACCCACACCTAGAGATTCAATTTATGATTTCCATGGTCAACGCCAGTAAACCAAACTGCCCCAAAATGCAATTCTTTTCGTCTGCCTGCAGACAGAAAGCCTATATAGAAGTAAATATAATGTGAAGGGAAAAAAACAAAAACTTGAAAAAATCCTGAGCAAGCAGAAATAGTTTTTGATTGTAGCTAGGAAAATACTGCCAGACTGTCAACTTTAAAGAAGCTACTTTAACATACAGGGCAAATGTATCTAGGAAATAAAAAGATTCACCCATCTTCATGCTTCTTGCATGCATCCTCCTCTATCCTGCTCTCAGAAATGAAGTGTTTTAAGAGGCATCCGTAGAATTGATTGAAAGTTACTCATTTTTCTATACAGTTGTTTTACCATAAATAATCTTAAAATCACTGTTAGATCCAGCTCATGGCTTACAGCTTTTACAAAATAGCCCCAATGAATTTAGTCTCATTATTCACCTTTGCATTGTACAGTATCCTGTATTTTTATACATCATCCTGCTCTATCCAGGTGATCCCTCCCAAGCATTTACGGACTGAACTGTAGATAAACAGTGGGTGCTGCTCACGGGGAGAAGACACAGACACACTTTGCCATATGTCAAAGAAACTTTTAGGTAGAGGAGAAATATATCTAAGAATAGCACTAAGAGTCTACTAGGCAGAAGTCTTTCCAACAGCCTTGCTTGCTTCCCAAGGCTGCACMGTGCAGAAAGTCAGAGGGACCCTTCAGCTCCATTGGCTATGGCCACACCACAGCTGTGCTTGAGAAAAAAGGTGAGGAAAAAATGTTTTGACACACACATACTTGTAATGCCTGTGCTGATGGGACTGTCTGCTGACTGTCAAAAGTGAAGACCAAGGGACGGAGAGACAAGCAAACAGGTTTACTTACTAGCAAAGCAGCTATACTAAGAAGCAGCTATACTAAGAAGCTGCCATGTGAATGGCAGTACATGTTTCACTGATTTATTGCATTGGAGCCATTTATCTAGTGAAAAGTCCTGAAGAAAGAAGAATGAACCATACTAGCATGGGGTTTTTTTGCTTGTTTTTGTTTCAAAGAATGATTTTGCCCACAGCATCCTCTTCAAGCCTTTTGCAAAGGGGCCTCCACCCATAACCTGTAAACACTTTGCCCAACACAAGTTACATATCTCAACCATCTGGAACAGCTGTGCAGTGTGATCACCAGAACCATGAGTTCAACTTCAGGCTCACTGTGTCTCAAAACAGACCTCATCGGTTTCTGCATCCCACTCTGTTACAGGGATCGCATTATCTGGAGTCTGACCCCAACATGCTACTTAGCAGCACTTTCAGTAAGAACGTGTTTGCTAATAAAATAAAATATGAAGGCAGTAATGACAAGACAAGCACTTCCCCACAGTCTTCTTATACAGCAATCACCACCCAGATGCTGGCAAAATCTCCAGGAGAGGGAGGCCACTAGGGAAGCCTGGATAGAAGGGAACGATATCTCAAGCTACTTGAAAATTCTGCAACTAGATCTCAGCTGTAAGAACCAGTACCAGCAAAATTTAAAGCAATTTAGGCAAATACAATAAAAGCAGGCAGTGAGGAAGCATCTTTCTAACTGTCCACTAATCACTGTGGCTGTCAACCTTTGCCAATGCTACAATAAAAGGAAGATATTGATGCATTTCCCTTCAAGTCACCAACTGTGTTGCTTGACATAGGTACAGGGAGACCAAAGGCAAGTTGACTTCATGAGCAAATAGAAGAATCCTTAAGGTACCACTTCTATTGGCAAACAAATAAGACAACAGCAAGCTGCCAGCTGGCAAGGAGACCCCCCAAGAGTAGCCAGAAAAATTCAGCRAGTTTTACCTATATACAGGGAGGAATCTTTCCGCCTCACGTGGTCATCGATGTAGGAAACTCCTAGGGGCTGGACAGGGGTAGCACCAATGCCAAGGAGGACCTGTGCTCCAATGAGCAGTAAGTACATCATGTTCGTAGCAGTCCTGTTCCTGCAGATAAGGTCCGGGTCTGGTCCCTCGTCGCTGCTGGACCCGTTGGCAGCACACACATCTCTCCCCTCAGCCCCCCAGCGAATCTCCCCCGACTCGTACTCGTACTGGTGGGTCAGAAATTCAGGCAGCGCAGAAAGGAGGGCACCCAAGGCCATGACTATCCCTCCGCATCCTATCAAGCGTGGCCTGTGTCCTCGGGCTCCAAAGTAGCTCACAAAGAGGATGAGGGCCAGGTTCCCAATCTCAAAGCTGCTGGCAATGACTCCCACATCCGCACTCTGAAGGTTGAATCGCCGCTCCAGTGTGGTTAAAACACTCACCTGAAACACAGAAATTCACAGACAATTACTTTAAAGAAATACTCCCATATTATCCACATAATTTGCTGAGGTGATGGATTGATCCCTTCCTTTCTGCAAGTAAAAAACTTGCAACAAGGAAGCAAGAGAATTTGTTGGTTTACACTGGGATGCTTCAGAAACAAGTGCTGCAGAACAGGAATAAAACTGGTAGGACCAAGATGCAGATAATCATCCTAAAATTTCAAAGCCACAGGATCAGCAAGACCCTCAGCATATTGCTTCTGAAAGCTTCCAAGTTTTGCATTAGAACTACACATTCCTTTGACTTTCCATCGGACCCAGACACTTACAAGCCAAGGGCATCTAAACCACCACGCAGTATTTGATGCCAAGTCATGATCTGCCCATTCAAAYGCAGCCAGCTAAGAAAGCCCCAGCAGCCATGACCCCTGATGGCCTACCACCTGTCTGAGCACATGCTAGCTTCCAAGCTTCCCAAATCCATCCATGTATTTTTGGATACATGGAGACCTGGGGCTCCACAGTTGACTAGGCTCCATTTGGGCCCCCTTTCAATCTGAACGCACGGCCTTGGCCTTGCAAGCCCTTTCCTGCACAGCCAATGCACAAACCACACCAAGAAATGCATCGTGACGGGCTCCTGCACTTTCTATACATATTAATTGCAGGAACCAAGCAGTAGTAAAGCTTGTGAGTACRTGCCTCACACATCAGCACCAGCCCATGAAATCAGTTTGAGATAGCGATGCACGAATAGGCAATAGAAGGCTTCTGTTAAAGCATATAAAAAAGGTTGACCAAATGACTTTAACTGTTTGCAGATTACTGAATATCTGGATCCCCTCTTCCACAATAATTTTGAGGAGACAGGTCAATTCAATACACATTGAAGATTTAAAACTGCAATCAAGAATGAAATAAATAAATTGGAGTTACTTAACATGAAGAGAAAGGATCACAGTTTTCAATTATTTAATAGATCACTGCAAAGAGGAATGACTTTTTCCATGCATCCAGAAGGAGCAGGACAAGAAAGGACAAGCTTCAACTTCAGCGGAGATGCTTCAGGTTAGACACAAGGTGTGCTGGCAGGGGCAAACCAGCCTCCTAACAGCAAGGACTGCAAAGCCTGAAACCTGCAGCCTGGAGATGCTGCAGTCTGTCCCTGGAGGTCTGAAAGAGCACAGACAAGCCAGCAATGRCACAGGTGTGACTGATCCCGCCACAGGGCAGGAAAACAGACCAGATCATCTCCAGAGATCTCTTCCAGCCTTGATTTTATGGTGCAATGAAACACAGCCGGGAGTTTTATGCAAGAGTCAAAACACTGATCACAGCCAGAAAATGAAACATTAGGTACCTCAGTTGCTGTCATCTCGRCTCAAGGGAGAAAGCTCAGTGCATTTTCATGCCTACAGCCATGTCCTCTTTATAAATCCATATGCATATATCATCTTGTACGTCCCACAAAAATAACCAAAACTTTTACCTTAGGTAAAGGAATGTCTTGTTTTTAATTTCAGATTGCAAAAGATGAAGATCTTTAAGGCTGCCCTAAAACAAGCATATTCTTCTATTAAAGAAAGAAAAAAAAAAAAAAAGAACCCACACAAAACAATGTAATAAGGACCTCAGAAGAGAGAGCAGCCCTTGGAGAGCACAAAGAAAGCCTCCCACCAGCGGCCCTGGCAATCTCCGTGGCTGCACCTCGGCGAGCAGGAGCGGCCTGACCGACTTCAAGGGCTTCTGACAGCAGCTCTTCTGCAGGGCAGCCGGCCTCTCCCGCCTGCACCCCGGCACAGGCAGCCTGGGCAGCAGCAAAATTCTGCTTTGCACGAGTAAAAAGCCCCCTGTGCAAAGCTCCTAAGTCAGATGGACAAAACCAGACTGTTCCCATCCCTTTTAGAAGGTCAGCTACTCCCTCACTAAGTGCCGAAGCTGAACAAGGAAGCACAGTAAAAGAGGCGGGGGGGAAAAAGCTATGATTAAAGACAGAGCCTTTAAGGATTAAAGAAGGTCGTGCCCAAGGCTGCGCTGCCCAGCAGCGCCTCGCAGCCACCGCAGCCACCAGTGCCAGGCACAGCGGGCTCCATCAGGCTCRCTCCTCGCTCAGCCGAAAGGTGGCTGGAGCTTCCAAGGCAGGGAAAAGCAGGAACAAATCCCTTAGGAGATGCCTTGGCTAGAGAGAGATTCCCATCCTTGGGGCTGGAGAAACTCCGGCTGCTGCTCCGATCCCTGCTCACACCAAGGAGACCACTCTGGATAAGGAATATTAGAAATACTGGTGGGTTTCTTCTCGCTGATCCCTGCAATTGAAGGTCTCTTGCAAGCAGGACTTGAGCTCTGTGTTCAGAGTTGGCGGCACTGTACCCACATGAAGGGAAGGTAGTTGAGGACTGCATTGTAAATATATAAATACAGCCCTCCTTCTGCCCTCCTGCCACCCAGCTACAGCCTCCAGCAGGTCCCCAAGGAATACGGATGTAAGACACCCCACATCCCCAAGTCAGATACAAGGGGGTTTGTCTCCAAGACATGCATGAAAAGAAATAAAATCACAATTGGGCCCATTCCTGAGCAGCACCTAGACAGGAAACTCACAATTACTCAATAAAGTTGTGTAAACTGTGGCAGAGACACACRCAGTAATGAGACAAGCACAGACAACAGAACTAACTTATGATGGAATAGCTGCGGTTGAAAGATGGAGCCAGCAGCAGCGATTTCCCAAGGGCAACAGGCACTAACTAGCTTTGGAAGTCGCTCCCACWTTACAACTCGGCTGCCTGGTTTTAGGCTTTAACTATGCATGTTTACAGGCAGCTAAAAAGCATGCTGGTGTTTAGAAACACATCTTGGCTCCACGTTTTACACGAGTCAGGTTTCAGACAGCTGCATTTCAGATAGAAAAACTGTACAGCTTTGATGTGCAATTAGCAGTGACTGGTGACAGCAAGCTGGTGACAAACCTGGGAATAAAACCCTCAAGTCCTCACTCTTAGTCTGCACAATTTCAGTTGCAATACACTTAGAGTGCTCATAATTAGGGAAACTGTGACAATCTCCAATAAAGTTCAATGCTGCCTCACCCCCTCATCCCCAGATATTTCCTACTTTGCKTTGGCTAAGGGAAGGCAGCAGCAGGAGAGGAGAATGACCCAAAGCAACCACGTGGGTGTCTGCTCAAAGCGGGCAGCCTGCTCTGTGCTTGGGCAGCCCTGACCCCTGGCCAGTCCTTGTGTCCCTGCTGCCCTCGGTACCACCCCTGCAAGGGGCAGGACCGCGGTGCCACACATCCCCAAAGAGCAAAATCACATCAGCCTCAAGCACCCAGAAGGGAACAGGAGGAAGTGCCGACACCAGCAGAGCAGCCTCGGAAACATTAACACAGTCTAAAACATTAACATCAGGCACCTCCTGCCCAGTTTTAAAGAGCAGCTCCACATGGTTTTGCTGTGGCACCGCTGAGATTCAACAGCCACCAGCACTTTGCAAGCCCATGCTCCTCAGGAATAATTTAAAATCAGGATTGGTCAACTGGACCGGTGTAGAATAAAATCAGGTAATCCATCTTGCTGCCTTTTAGCGAGCAGAACACCTAAGGGGCAGCAACCATCAGTAATTAAACCCTGCACCGTGTCCGAGCTATGTGCACGCTCATGTACCTGCCCGGTGCAGAGCCACTGAACACAGCTCGTGTGCATTTTGTCTCCACAGATTTCAAACTCAACTTCACAAGGACCTGGGCTAAAGCAGCCTCTCAAGTCCACTCTAAAGTGTTCTTCAATGATTGAAAAAGGAAAATCATCCTACATAATGCATGCAGTGACAAACGACCTACACATACACACATCAATCACCACCTTGAAATTYTGAAGCCAAGCAACGTTATTGCAATGCCTATAACTAAACCCAGGGAAGCTTTTGTCATGCCGTTCTGGACCCATTTCAATAACACATGCCCACATTCATCATTCTTGTCTGCCCTAGATCTACAGATCTTGGCATTCCTGAACCAAGGTAAATTTGTTCTCTCTAAGGCCTGTTTAAATTAATGCTCAGCAAAAACGCAGCCCACGAGCCTGTCTCACACTATTGCCCCACTCCAGCACCACGAAATGAATCTAAGGCTGGGGATTCGTTATTCACTCGGATACATRGTGTATTGGAAATGAATATCATATTGTTCGTATCTCCAATGATCAAGTCCTATTCACCCACAGAGTCTACAGATAAGTTCATTGTATTAATAATACAAGGTTATATATAGAAAACACATTGACTTCATGCCTGAAGGGCCTTTTTTAAAGGCTTCTTTATAATGTAAAACACATTTTCTCAGTTATGTGGTAAGAGATTGGACTTGAAGAGACATGTCTGCAGTGCTACAGGGTGTAAAATAATTGCCTGGCAACTGTATTCCCAAAGGAAAACAAACAAGAACCACCTCCCACAGGCTCCATTACAGACCTGGGAAACAGGATTCCTCAAAAACCCAAAGCAATCAGCACAGGAACAAAGTGCCCCTTGTAACAGGTGCCCACTTCTTCAGATGGCAGCTTGTCCTCTTGCCCAGCAATGACACGGGGTGGCTGAAGGGCATCCAGGAATCCCCAATTAAGACAACCCATCTCCTCCTGCACACCCTGCTCCTCTCTCCCCCACTGAGAGCACTCCACCATGCTTGGATTTAAACTCAAAGGAAATTATGTTGATCCCTCACTAACATTTTTGCTCCATAATTCCAGCTTTAAATGACAATTTGTGGTTGAGCCTATTTTTAATGCAGACGTTTGCTAGCTCGTGCCCACACCTTCCACTCAGGAAGGCTGAGAGGGACAGCAGCTGACCACAAGCTACAATTCCTAGCAAAAGGCACTGAATTCCCAGCATAAGGCACTGGCTTTGCTGGGTGAGGAGGAGATCCACCTCGTGTCGAGAGCCTACTGGAGGTACCAGCACCTCTTTGCTGACTTCATCCTTCCTGTGGAGGCACA